TGTTTTTTTTTTTTTTTTTTTTAAGATTTGTTTATTTATTTTGGCCACGCTGTGCTGCATTTGGAATGTTAGTTCCATGACCAGGGACTGAACCTGCATCCCCTACAGTGGAAGGGAGGACTCTTCCCCACTGGTCCACCAGGGCAGGCCCTGACTATGTATGTTTTAAATGTGTTTAGCTTGTTTGACGATGGTTCAACGAGCCCTCCATGTGCCTTCTCCCCCCACTGGAGTAATTTCATGTTTGTCACTAAGGCCAGGACCCTGAGGTGCCAGGACCCCAAGGTGCTGGGACCCCGAGGCACTGAAGCCTGCTCTGTTTCAGGCCCATTACGCAGTCCAGGCCAGAAGGTCTCGGAGCATCACCAGGAAGAGGAAGCGGGAAGACTCTGTCCTGCCCGCCTCTGTGACTCGCAGTCACAGCTGTTCTCGGCCTCCACGTGATGTCTCTGGTCTCCGGGATGTCAAGGTTAGTCCCTGTAACTAGTAGCTAATAAAACAGTAACCTCTACGGTTGATCCCTCAGGGGGTCGGGGCAAACACTTGGAGCCGCAGAGATTGTGGGGTGGGTGGTGGAGTGCGCTTAGCTGAGTGCTGCACCCTAAGGGTTGGGCTTGGCCCCTGCACAGCTGGGTGTCCATGGGCCTTTTCTTTATGTGTGTGTGTTCCTTCTCAGGGCAGACAGAGCAGGGTATTGCAGTGGCCTTGCAGCCTGAGCCTTGGTCCCAGCCACTCAGGGCTATGCTAGGAAACAGTTCTGCTCAGAGCCTGGACCTGAGGCCCTCACCCACCATAGCAGGGAGCTGTTTGGGGCAGTCTTGAGGAAAAGACACTTTGGATGTATACAGTCTCTTTTTGTGGCAGCTACTACTTTTCCTTTTTTTCTTTAAATACAAAAATGGTTAGTTTCAGCATTTTGAAAATTCATATAGATGAGAAAGTCTGTATATAAACTGATAAGCAGTGTGCTTTCAGGGAGCCATTTCATTCAGTAATCTGGACTTAAAACCAGCATTGCCACTTGTCAGTCAGATATGAGTAGCTCCATGGCCAGATCTCCATGCCCTCATCTGCTGAGAGGGAAGCAGAACAGAACAGAGTACCTGATCTTGCAGGTCTGAGAGTGTCTGGTCCTCACAGGTACGAGACTGGTCTGGTACAGTTTCCATCCTGTGGGTACTGTGGTATGTCCACGGGAAAATTGTGTGAGTGATGCTCACTAGGGCTTCTCTTCATAGCACAGACCTGGACTGTTCACATCAAGTGTTAACAGGTAATGGAAATTCATTTGGAAATTTGGGTTTTCACAACTGATAGGTTTTTCTTTACCTTTGTAGATGGTGAAGAAGGCCAAGATGATGATGAAGAACGCTCAGAAGAAGATGAATCGCTTGGGGAAGAAAGGGGAGGCAGACAGACATGTGTTTGACATGAAACCGAAGCACTTGCTCTCAGGAAAGAGGAAAGCTGGTAAAAAGGACAGGAGATAGTGTCCTTTGCCACTGAAGCACTTTGACTCCACTTTTTCCTGGTTTGGTTTCACAGAGCTGGGAGTCGTGATCTGTAAACTGAACAGAACGGTGAAGTAACTCAAGGACTTGTGCCTTGCTGAAAGCTATGGTAATGCCTTAAATGTATGGGTGTGGGTTATTTTTGTCACTGTATTATATTACATATTTTGAGTGGGCAGTAGTTTCTCATTTCTTAAGTTTTGGTTGCTTCAGACTGCAGGACAGGAAAGATTTATTGATGTGACTGTGTTGCTTTTGATGGACAAATCTACTAGGTCATCTTCTAGTCCTTTTATTCAGTGCACTGTTTTGATTTGTCTTCAACTATTTTATCCAAAATAAACTTCCAAAAGAAAGAAATTTTGATTTATTTAGTTGGTTTTATGTTTGTTTCAGTTACAAACCACTGTCAGTTTGGGCAGATGAAAAGGGAAAAAAGCAAATGACTATTCTTTTTTGTTTTCAAAGCAAAAAATACTTTTCTGTGGAGTAGAATGTTGGCTGAGTTACTGAAGCAATTAAATGTTGGGATCTCCTGCTTCAGTGTCCACTGCTGAAGACTGGTTTGAGTGGAAATCATTGTAAGGTTCATGCTCAGTAAAATGAACGGAATTAGCACGTGAGAACATGAAATGCTTATAACAGCACTTCTCAACCACAAAACTGCCATGGCCACCACTTTGCATGCAGTTTTCAAGTCCCCTCTGCTCACTGTCAGTGTTTCTAAGTGCACCTCTGTGGGTCCTTCAGTGTTGAGCAGTGTAATTCAGGGCTTTTCTACACATAGGTGTGTTTGAAAGTTGCATTTTAGGGATCCAAAGTAAAGTTTTGTTTGGGTTGGGAAAGATTATGTTCAGAGAAACCTGTTGAATGATATCAGTCAGAATGACCAGGGACACCCAGAGTCCCTCTCCTCTGGGATTATACTTTTAAGTTCAGTTTAGTTCAGTCTCTCAGTTGTGTCCGACTCTTTGCGACCCCATGCAGCATGTGCCCCATGCCCCCTTGGCAGCACGCCAAGCCTCCCTGTCCATCACCAACTCCTGGAGTCCACCCAAACTTATGTCCATTGAGTCGGTGATGCCATCCAACCATCTCATCCTTTGTTGTGCCCTTCTCCTCCTGCCCTCAATCTTTCCCAGCATCAGGGTCTTTTCAAATGAGTCAGTTCTTTGCATCAGGTGGCCAAAGTATTGGAGTTTCAGCTTCAACATCACTCCTACCAATGAATACACCCAGGACTGATCTTCTTTAGGATGGACTGGTTGGATCTCCTTGCAGTCCAAGGGACTCTGAAGAGTCTTCAACACCACAGTTCAAAAGCATCAATTATTTGGCGCTCAGTTTCCATCCATCTCTCACATCCATACGTGATCACTGGAAAAACCATAGCCTTGACTAGATGGACATTTGTTGACAAAGTAATGTCTGCTTTTTAATATGCTGTCTAGGTTGGTGATAACTTTCCTTCCAAGGAGTAAGCATCTTTTAATTTCATGGCTGCAGTCACCATCTGCAGTGATTTTGGAGCACAGAAAAATAGTCAGCCACTGTTTCCCCATCTATTTACCATGAAGTGATGGGACTGGATGCCATGATCTTAGTTTTCTGAATGTTGAGTTTTAAGCCAACTTTTTCACTCTCCTCTTTCACTTTCATCAAGAAGCTCTTTAGTCTTCACTTTCTGCCATAAGGGTGGTGTCATCTGCATATCTGAGGTTATTGATATTTCTCCCAGCAATCTTGAATCCAGCTTGTGCTTCTTCCAGCCCAGCGTTTCTCATGATGTACTCTGCATATAAGTTAAATAAGCAGGGTGACAATATACAGCCTTGATGTACTCCTTTACCTATTAGGAACCAGTCTGTTGTTCCATTGTTCAGTTCTAACTGTTGCTTCCTGACCTGCATACAGGTTTCTCAAGAGGTGGGTCAGGTGGTCTGGTATTCCCATCTTTTTCAGAATTTTCCTCTGGCAGAAACTCTGCTGACTCTTTTGGACTCTCGGAGTTTAAAGGCTGGCCTCTTCCCCTCGTGGGGAGGCCTTGGTGGTAAACCAGTTTTGGTCAGTTTTAGCCCCTGTGGCTCAGCATCAGCCTGTCCTCCCACTCCCAATCCTGAGTTGGTCACTGTGCCAGCATTTCTGGAGCTGCCTGTTGGCATCAGATTGAGCCCTTTCCTTAAAGGGCCCTGTCCTCCAAATACTGGGATTTTTGATTGGCAGTTGCTGCTTCTGATGGTAGAGGTGTAAACATGGATCCCTGCCAGCTGAATTTGAAGGGCCAGTGCTTATTTCTTTTCCCCCTGCATTTTTTCCTTTTTTACCCGCTTTGAGAGCTAGAGATTTAAGAATTATGACTTCAAAAAGCACTGCATGCTCAGCAATTTAGAAAGTCAACATGTTGACAAAGAAAAAACAGATTTGGAAAAAGAACTGAGACCTGAAGACCTCAGGAGGCACAGATACAACTAAAAATTCACATACAAAAATAGTGTGGAAAGTATGGTCCATTAAAGGAAAAAAAACTAGGAAACCGTCTTTCAGGAAGACCAAATGGCAGACTTACTAGACAAAGACTGTAAAACAGCTGCCTTAAAGATGTTCAAGAAGCTACAGGAAGATGGAGACAGTCAGAAAAAACAATGCATGAACAAAATAGGAATATCAGTAAAGTTTAATAGATGGCACCTTTGCTCTGTACCTGTTGTCAGTGCTTTGTCCAGAATCTAAATATAAGACACCACTGCCCACACAGTAAGCACTAGCCACTGTAACTACCAAGTTTTTGTAAGCTAAAGAACTAGAAATAATATAAATGCATTTTGAATGCACTTACCATGCTTAAGCTACCACATGACTTTTCACCTATTACTGTATTGAAGTTATAACAAATTAGACAACAGTATCAAAATTAATTTATTTTTGTTAAAGTTAACATTTGCTGCAGTTTTGCCTGAAATCAATAGCATTCAAGGATAATAAAGCAGTCTTAAGGTCTCAAATGTAAGAAATCTGTGGCAAGAGTTTAAAAAAGTACCATTAGTCAAGGGACATTTCGAATAATACATACATATTCCATAACCCAAATCTATTTAACATGAATATTAACCTGTTTTTGGTTAATTTTCTTACAACATGGCCTGATCTCCAGAAGACATTTACTGTTTGGTGTCACTGGGGATGCCATGGGGGGAGGGGTGCCAAAGGCATTTTTTGGGTAGAACCTAAAGATGCTGCTATACAAGGCAAAGGATGAACTTTCAAAAAGAATTAACCAGTCTAAACTGCAGTGCCACAGTTAAAAGACCCTGTTGTTGAGTATGACTCAACTGACCCAAGTTCCATTTTACAAATAGTCTGTATTCCTAGTAATTTTGAAAACCAGAGTTTACTAATTGGCATGGACTATTTAAATGACTTCACCTAGCCAATGTCCCTACCAAAATCAATGTTAGACTTTAATACTTATAGAATGATTAAACCACAAAATTAACTTTCAATGACAAAAATCATGCCATTTAATTCCCTTGAACTGCTCTACTATATTTTATCTCTTAACATGGAAAGTTAAATTGCAATGTTTTGAAGTAGATAAGCAAATAGCTTCCATTGCACATTATTTTGGACCATGATAAAAGTTTAAAGATATGTCAAGTACCTGGCAGATAGTAAAGTGGTATACAAGTCTTCTAAAAATGTTTATCATAATATATAAAAAATGAACTCCACTTGTTTGTTTAAATGTGTCATAACCATTTATTTAGACAGGTTAAGTTTATTTTGCTCTCTTTGTATAATAATCTCTGAAATTTTTTTTTTTTACAAATTGCAGTACATATATATGGGGTGTATGACATAAAATCAAGAATTCTCTTCCATACAAATTCTGGTTGTAAAGTATCAGTATTTCCACGGAGAGTTCCAGTGGGAACCAGATTTTTTTAAAGTTCATTTTAAGTTTACTAACTAGAGAAATTCTTCAGTACTTTAGTAACCATTCATCTCCACTTTTACATTCTGTGTATTTTCTCATGGTCAACAAACAGATTCAAACGATTTAAGTTATCCCACCACTTAAAGAGAAAAGTATCTGCAATAATTTGAAACCATGGGGTTATCTTAATTTCACCACGGGTTGCCTTTTCTAGAAGTTCTTGTAATTCTTCCTTTGTTACATAGCAATAGCTTTTAATCTCATTGGGGTCTGGATTCAAGGTCACGTTCTTCTTCACAAACAAAATGTAATCAATTTCATGTTCTCCCCAGATACCATCAGATTGAGCCTTGTAGTGAATTCGTGTTAGATAATTAATTTCCTCTGGAGGAACCTAGGGTTAAAAAAAAGAAAAACCTCTAAAACATCAACCAAAAAATAATCTAAATCAACCTACTACATTTCAGTAATACCTTGAACAACAGAACTAGTTTTAGAATGATAATTTTTGAAACATCAATTTCCTATTAATACACAAATACATAAAGTATATATACTGTGAAAGTGAAAAGTCTCACAGTTGTGTCTGACTCTTTGAGACCTCATGGACTATACTATACAGTCCATGGAATTCTCCAGACCAGAACACTGGAGTGGTTAGCTGTTCCCTCCTCCAGGGGATCTTCCCAACCCAGAGACTGAACCCAGGTCTCCCTCATTGCAGGCAGATTCTTTAAGAGCTGAGCCACCAGGGAAGCCCAAGAATACTGGAGTGGGTAGCCTATCCCTTCTCTTCAGGGGATCTTCCCAACCGAGGAAAATATACTTGAAATAGTATTAAATAGTTTCAAGTCTGAAATTTTTTCCCAAAGAACCAAAAATTGAAGATTTATTGAAAAAGGTATATTAGAGAAAATAGAGTCACTAAAACTAGAAGTGTGACATTCCCCCTCGCGTCTTAATTTATAGGAGAAAAAAATATTCCCATTTTAACTAGATAAGAGAGATACTTTTATTTATTCAGGTCTTATTGAAAAGGGGACAATTCCAGGAACAAGAGGATAATTTCAATTCACCCAATCAGATCTGTAGTTCACAAGAAAATACTCATCTTTGGTCAATTATAAACTGTCAACTTTATATACTGGTTAATAAATCAATCCATTTTGGTAGAGTTAAGTACACGTGTTATAAGGTCAAAATTTAACTCATTTAACGGGCTTTTTAGGGGTCTAAAAAACCAAGTGATACAAAGCAGAGAGCTACACTTGAATTTAAAGTTTTATTAAAAATTGTTTTAATGTATTCTAAATAGGTTTCAGCTGGTATGGTGGGTTACCTCTTCCATGGGAATTCCGAGTTCGGCCTTTAACCGCCTCTGTGCTGCTCTTCTTACTCCAATAGCATCATTTTCTTCCAGCTCACTTGGGTTGCTTAACGGGTGACTACAGCAAGTATTAGTAAAACACCCTGGAACATGTTAATGTTTATAAATATACAGAAATAAACTTTTCCTGAAAGTAGGTTAGGAAGATTAAGAAAACTTTAAGTTTTAAAAGTAACAAAAATAAAATGATTCTGGAGAATTTTAAATGTTACAATGGGCTACCAGCGACCATTTTGTGAAAGACACAGGTAAATGTACATTTTTATGAACGCTTTCTTAACACAAACGGTCAAAACGTGTATAAGACACACCTATACAGACCTAGCAGTTTTCATCCTTTACTGCTGCTTTATTTGCAACGGTGGTTGCATCCACCGTTCAAGCTTCTCGTGTGAAGAAAATAAAACTCAGCAACTGACTAGAGTTTTCTGATCTCGGCTACCAGAAATTGCAGGTGACAAACAAATCAAAGCACGTACAGCTGCCAACAACACAAAGGGTGAGCACTTACCTGGGAAGGTAATCTTAGCGTCTGACCTCTGCTGCAGCAGCAGCTTGTTCTCGGTGTTGAACAAGAAGACACTGAAAGCTCGGTGCAACAACCCTGACGGCGAGAGATGCGACGCCCTGAATCTCTGTCTGGGGCTCGCAAGGGCTCAGGCGGCCGGAGGGGGTGACGTGGGACCCCCGCCCTCCCTGCGCCCGGGGACCCCAGCCCGCCGCCCTCGCGGGCACCTCTCTCGATGTTCTCGTTCAGGTGGCAGTTCTTCTTGGTCTCCGCCCCAATCCTCCGGTCGTTCTCATCGATGAGGATGCACATCTCGGCCAGGAGCTGCACCTGCCGCTCGTCCAGCTCGTCCGTGCTTACCTCCGGCATCGCCGCCCGGCCTCCGCGCCGCCCCGGGAACCTGGGAGCGGGGGTCCCAGGGTCGGAGGACGCACCTGCCGCCTCCCCCGCGCCGGCTCCTGGGCCGCGCTCACAGCCCCCCGCGCAGCCCACGTGGCGCAGACCCCGGGCCTCTGGCTACTTCCTCACATGGTTGGGTTGAGACTACGGGATGCGATCTGCAAGCGCTCGGCCCGCCCCTCAGCGCGCAAAGCCCGGACCCCCGCCCGCCTCCCGGGACCTCACAGACTCTCTCCTCCATACCTCAGACGCGCGCCGTCCACTGAAGGCTGCGTCGCTGGGCGAGTCTCCTTCAGACCCCGCCCCCAGGCAAGGGCCCAGCCTCCGGCCCGAACCCCGCCCCCCGAGGCCGCGCGGCCAATTGCCCGCGCCGGCAGCAGGGCGCGCCACATTCCCGCCGACCAATGGTGCGCCGGCCCGCGACCCACGTCACGGTCGCGCGGTGGCGCCACTCCCGATCTCCAGGCGTCTCCTCCCACGGCTCTGGGCTGCGGAACCTTCCCCAGGCCGCAGCGCGTGTGCTCTCGGTGCCTTCGGTACACAACTCAGGTGACGCTCCTTGACCGTGAAACGGCCTAATGGAGGGCACTCACTGACTAGGGGCCGGGTGAGCGTCCGTTTACGTCTTGCCCTCGGCCAGCTCTAGCGAATTGGTGCGCCCGAGGCGCTGCGCTCGCTGCGCGCTGACGTCAAGCGTCTCCGCGCGCTCGAGGTCTGAGGCGCCCGGGAGGCGCCTGGTGTGCCAAACACAGTCTGTGCGCCAAACAGCCCTGTCGGTGAGCGTGAGCTGTCCCCGGCGGGTAGTGTGGCGACTTCAAAGTAACTAGACAAGTTTGTCACTATTTGTGAAGGAAGGGAGTTAGAAAAAGACCTCTGCCAGTCGGGAGTTGCTGGCAAACCACCAGAAGGCGAGAGAGAGAGAGAGAGACATGGCACAGATTCCCTGTCACAGGTCTCAGCAGGAACCAGCACCGACTGGCACCTTGATCCTGGACCTCAAGCTTCCAGACCTGAGACAATAAATTTCTGTTGTCTAAGCCTGATTTGTGGCATTTTGTTACAGCAGCCCTATCAAAGGAACGCACTGTGGAAAACGTGGGCTTTGATGTGGTCCTGGATTTTAATCCAATCTTTGCTCCTTTGCATACTAGGTTTTTGAGTTTCGACAACTAATTATAACATCCTCACGCTTAATTGGACTTCCCAGGTGGCGCTAGTGGTAAAGAACTCACCTGTCAATGCAGCCGATGTGAGACACGGGTTCAATCCCTGGGTTGGGAGGATCCCCTGGAGGAGGGCCTGGCAACCTTCTCCAGTATTCTTGCCTGGAGAATCTCGTGGACAGAGGAGCCTGGCGGGCTAGTCAATGGGGTCGCATAGAGTCGGACACAACTGAAGCGACTTAGCATGCTCACATTTTTAAGATCAATTCAGAATAATTTGTACTTTTAGTCGATTTATAGTGTTTCTGCTGTACAGCAAAATGATAGTTCACACATTATTCTTTAACAGTATAGATTATAAGATGTTGAATATCTTTAGTTCTCTGTGGTACACAGTAAATCCTTGGATTCTGTTTATATATAGCAGTGTATATGTTAATCTCAATATAATTTATCCCCCCCACCTTTCCTCTTTGGTAGGCCTAAGTTTGTTGTGTGAGTCTATTTCTGTTCTGTAAATTAAAGTTCATTTGTATCATACTGTAGATAGTTGGATGGCACTGCTGACTCCATGGACATGAATTTGAGCAACCTCAGGGAGTTGGTGATGAACAGGGAAGCCTGGCATGCTGCTGTCCATGGGGTCACAAAGAAATAGGACACGACTGGAGTGACTGAACTTAGAGCCAACCTACAAATATGTGTTTCGCTGACTTTCTTCACACTGTGACGATCTCTAGGTTCATTCTTGTTGCAAAAGGTTTTGTTTTTTTTTTAATTAGTATGCCATTGCGCACATGCATGCATGAGTGTATACACGCATCTTTTTTATCCAGTGTGTTTATACACATCTTTATCCATTGTGTATGTGTGTTTATATATACATACCACGTCTTTTTTATCCATTCTATTTGTTGATGGACATTCAGATTGCTTACGGGTATTGGCTACTGTGAATAGTGCTGCTGTGAACATTTGGGGGTACATGTATCTTTTGAAATTAACAATTTTGTCCAGATATATGGCCAGTTGTGGGATTGCTGGATCATATGGTAGTTGTATTTTTAGTTTTTTAAGGAACCTCCACACTGTTCTCCACAGTAGCTGTACGGTTCCCTCTTCTCCACACCCTCTCCAGCATTTACTGTTTGTGGACTTTTTGATGATGGCCATTTGGACCAGTGTGAGGTGGTATCTCATCGCAGTTTTGATCAGCACTTTATTAGGTTGGCTTGAGGATCAGACAGGTTAACAAATATGTTATGTGCCTGGCACACAGCGGGCCCCCAAAGTGTTGATTTTTTCCCCCTCTTTATTTTTGTGACACTTCTTTACAGTCATTTTATTTCCAGTGACTTTTATATAATTATAAATATAGCAGAGAAAAGATTACCTCAGTTATAACAACATCCTAAGTTTCACCCAAACTGTTGATGCTGTGCTGCAAAGTAAAACCACATTCTAGCATCTGAATCAATTGGAGCTGATACTGTGGTTCACCCGGCATTCTACCTGCTCCCTCGCCCTGCAGAATGCCTTGGGCATATTAGGTCGCTAATAAAATTGCTGGTTGAATGGTAGCTACAACCACCAAACTTGAAACCACCCCCCCCCAAAAAAAACCTTGAAACACTCAGTTCACCTTATATAACTGATTCTAGCAATAAACTTTACTGAATATTGAAGTAACCTCGGGTTTTACTGCGCAAGCTCTGTGGCTATTCGAATCCCCAAATACGCCGAATTTGTTTCTTGTTCAACAATCGTACTAACGCTTCTCCAATTCGAATGATGAACTTTAGTCTGTATTATAAAAAAAAAAAGCTCCCACACGTCTGATTTCGTCTTTGCTTTAGGACTTTAAACGCCCAGCTGGTTGTTCCTAGAGCAGAGGCCGCCTGCGCACCCTGTAATTTTTCCAACCTGTACAAGGACAAGAAGGCCATCAGGTCCCACCTTTCGCAGCGAGACGCTGCCTTTGTTTCGTCTCCGCAGCCAATGGCGAACACACACTTCATACCGGAGGCTGCAGGGGGTGAGTCACCCTCCGCAGATCCGCCGGGATCCGCGCGCAGCCGCCTAGCCCGCGCCGCCCCGGGAAGCGACGCCCGGGAAGCGGTTCCCGGCACACGAGGCGGTTCCGACTGGGGCCGGCGGCTCCAGAAACCCGACCCGGGTCCAAATGGACGCCGACCTGCGCCAGCCCGGGACGCCCTTGGGCCCCCGCCGCCGTGAGTACCCGCAGGTCCTCAGCGCCCCCGCGCCATTGGGCGCCCGCCGCTCTTCGGCCCTCCGCGGGGACTTCAGATGGGGCGCCGACACCGCAGGGCGAGGACCGGGGGGTCCCGGGGCCCAGCTGTGTATTCGAGGCCGCCACGACCCACTTGAGGATCTCCGCCCCCGCGGGCAGCGGGTGGGACTTCCTTTCGTGGCCTGGACTTCCGGCGGTGCCAGCCGCGAGGTGGAGGCGGGACTTCCCGTCGGGCCTGCGCGTGAAAGATAGCGGGAGGGATTTCCGGCGTGGGGCAGAGGCGGGGCGGGGACTTCCGGCGCCGGAAGTGTGGGGCGTTGGGCTGCCGGGTCTTGGGCCCGTGTCTGGCGGGGACTTGGGGACCTGTGCGTCCGCGTCCGTCCCGCGCGCCGCGTGGCTCGGAAGACACGGGCGGCAGCGAACTGCCCGGCTGGCACTGCGCGGTGGCGGGCTCGGCGGCGACGTGACAGGTGAGTGCTGGCCCGCCATCTTCAGCTCGGGACCACAGCCGCAGGCTGTGCGGCGGCGGCGGCCTCCCCTGGGCGGGGTTGTCCTGGGGGGGCCTCGCGCACCCTAATCTGGGCCCTGATTCCGCGCCCCTCTCCGACCCCGAGCCCGGCCGGGTCTCGACGGAGCTGGAACGCGCACCCCTCGCCCAGAGCGGCTGGGGAGGCGGGTCCTTCGAGGCCCCCGGGAACCTCCCACCCGCGAGCGTGTCGGAGCCCGGGGTCCCCAGGCCCCATTGGGGGTGTGGAACCTCGCGAGGGGCGCCTCGACCTTGGACTGGAGCGACGGGCCGTGTCCAGCCTCGCGTCCTGCCGGGTGCTCGCACGGAGGCCCCGGCGCGTTTCCTTCCTTCCCGGGACCGGGCAGCCGCGCGCACCTGCTGTGCCGTGGCCTCGAGCTGACGTCCTCAGCCCCTTCCCCCGGGAGTACCGACGGCGCTCTGAATTCCCAAGTGCTCCTTCTTCTAAGACGACGACTTGACAGTTAATAAGTTCATCCTTGATGCGAGCTCATTCTTTTAATAATTGAGGTCTTTAAATAGCGTTGGTGGTTTTCCGGTTAGAGATGTCCCCAGCCCAGCATCAGGTCCAGAATTGGTGAGCGTGCCTTCGACTGGGTCGACGACAGGACATCTTCAGCCTGATTACCGAGGCTGGACTGCGGGGCTGCCTTTGGTTGATGTCACTCAGCAGCTGAGTTTGTCGTTTGTCTTCCGGAATTCAGTAAGGGTACTTTTACAGTGAAGTGCTTTGAAAAACTCTACCGGCTTTTCAGCCACGTTTTGTATTATTAAATGCCACATGCAGAGTATAGCTTTTAACCTTTTCTTTTTTTTTTTTTTTGATTGTTGCGTGTTATTAACTTTCATGACATTTACTATTTAGTCAGTGTTTTTCTCTCGCCAAAAGTGTTTAAAAACGCCACTGAGTTTGTAATTGTGAGTATTGTTTTGTTTGTAGGGTATAGTAGGCATGTGGCACGCAAGGGCAAACCACTTGGGCAGAAGGAATGTTTATATTAAATTGATAAATTTGATCAATAGCATAGGGAGGTTGGATTCTTGGAGGGAACTATTTATACTTTTTTGGGTGTGTTTAAAAAAATCAGCAGGACCTTTTATTCATTAAACCTTCTTTTTAATTCAGTCATATGCCCTGTCATGAAGCTTCTCTGGTGGCTCAGATGGTAAAGAACCCACCTGCCAATGCAGGAGACACAGGTTTGATCCCTGGATCAGGAAGATTCCCTGGAGAAGGAAATGGGAACCCACTCCAGTATTCTTGCCTGGGAAATCCCATGGACAGAGGAGCCTGATGGCTACTGTCCTTGGAGTCGAAGATTCAGACACGACTTAGTGACTTAACAAGAGCTAAAACCTCTTTGGAGAACCAAAACCTCTTTCAGATTTGTAGTTATTTGAAATGTGTGTGTTTGTGTAGAAATTGATGAGTGGGAAAAGATGACCAGTACATTGACTATTTGGTGAGGTGACCGAAAAAAGCAGGCAAAGCCCAGAGTAGCACCAGGTGGTTCATGGGGTTGAGGGAGGGGTTCAAGGCTCAGGGACAGGCTGGGGTGAGAATCTTGCAAGTTAGTAGTGAAGAAGACTGTTTATTTCTACCAAAGATACAGATACTGGACAAGCTGGTTATGTGATCCTTAAGGGAGGCTATTGTTGAGGTGGAAGGAAGGTTAATACTGCAATTTTCACACTTTGTATAAGCAATTTGTAGAACCTT